GGAGCTTCGCTAGCAACCCGGCATTTCATCTTCGACAAAGTTATCCCGAGAGAAGTAAAGCAAGTGTGTAAGTCCATCTCTGAATGTTTGTAAAGCATTCCCACGTTAAGCTTAACAAGCGACTGCCTCTTCTTGCTGCTACTTCAATCATGAAACTGCTTAATGATCAGCTGATCAGCTTTTCTGTCGTGAGTCCGTCTCTTGTTTGTTTTTGGCCCACTTTGCACCAGAAAGAGGAAACCAGTGGCTGAACAACAGCAGCACGTTTAAGCTTGAATCAGAATCAGAAAGGGTTTATTGCCAAATGTTGAGCAGGTTTACAACATTAGGAAATTGCTGCGGTGCTTCAGTGCAAACATACTGTCATAGAAAATATAAAAATAAGAATAAGAATTAAAAGTGCTAAGTAGATACACTCAACAAAAATATAAACGCAACACCTTTGTTACTGCTCCCATTCCCCATGGGATGGACGTAGAGACCTAAAATTCATTCCAGATACACAATATAACCATCCCTCCCAAACAGTGGTCACAAATCAGTCCAAATGTGTGGTAGTGGGCACATCTGCTATATTGAGATAATCCATCCCACCTCACAGGTGTGCCACATCAGGATGCTGATCTGACATCATGAGTAGTGCACAGGTGTACCTCAGACTGCCCACAACAAAAGGCCACCCTGGAATGTGCCGTTTTGTCTCACAGCAAAATGCCACAGATGCCACACGCAATGAGGGAGCGTGCAATTGGCATGCTGACAGCAGGAATGTCAACCAGATCTGTCGCCCGTGCATTGAATGTTCATTTCTCAACCATAAGCCGTCTCCACAGGCGTTTCAGAGAATATGGCAGCACATCCAACCGGCCTCACAACCGCAGACCTCGTGTAACCACACCAGCCCAGGACCTCCACATCCAGCAGGTTCACCTCCAAGATCGTCTGAGACCAGCCACCCAGACAGCTGCTGGAACAATTGGTTTGCACAACCAAACAATTTCTGCACAAACTGTCAGAAACCGTCTCAGGGACGCTCAACTGCATGCCCGTCGTCCTCATCGGGGTCTTGACCTGACTCCAGCTCGTCACCGTAACAGACTTGTGTGGGCAAATGCTCACATTCGATGGCGTCTGGCACGTTGGAGAGGTGTGCGCTTCACGGATGAATCATGGTTCACATTGTTCAGGGCAGATGGCAGCTGAGAATGTCCCAGTTCTTGCATGGCCAGCATACTCACCGGACATGTCACCCATTGAGCATGTTCGGGATGTGCTTGACCGGCGTATACGACAGCGTGTACCAGTTCCCACGAATATCCAACAACCTCGCACAGCCATTGAAGTGGAGTGGACCAACATTCCACAGGCCACAATTGACAATCTGATAGACTCCATGCGACGATGTGTTGCACTGCATGAGGCAAATGGTGGTCACACCAGATACTGACCGGTTCTGGGTCCCCAGACCCCCAATAGCGCAAAAAACTGCACATTCCAGGGTGGCCTTTTGTTGTGGGCAGTCTGAGGTACACCTGTGCACTACTCATGATGTCAGATCAGCATCCTGATGTGGCACACCTGTGAGGTGGGATGGATTATCTCAATATAGCAGATGTGCCCACTACCACACATTTGGACTGATTTGTGACCACTGTTTGGGAGGGATGGTTATATTGTGTATCTGGAATGAATTTTAGGTCTCTACGTCCATCCCATGGGGAATGGGAGCAGTAACAAAGGTGTTGCGTTTATATTTTTGTTCAGTGTATATACATGATATATACATGAGTGCAGGTGGTGATCAGTGCCAAACACGGAATGATGCAGTAAACACAGTGTAGGGTCATGTGTTAGTGGTGGGAACAGTCATATGGTTATTGTTCATGGGTCCAACAGCAGAGGGGAAGAAACTGTTCTTATGGCGAGAGGTTCTGGTGCGAATGGACCGGAGCCTCCTGCCTGAGGGGAGCAGGTCAAACAGACTGTGTCCAGGGTGAGAAGGGTCAGCTGAGATCCGAGCTGCACGCCCCAGTGTCCTGGAGGTGTACAGGTCCTGCAGATAAGCTGATAAGCTGTTGTTAGAATTTATTTAATATTACTTTCTACACCAGGATCTTTTTCTATGTAGCTGACGGCTGGTAACTGTGCAGGGGCGGATCTAGCAAAGTTTAGCCAGGGGGGCCGATAGGGCATTAACAGGGAAAAGGGGGCACAAAGACATACTTTTCTTTCTTATTCTCATTTAAAATGTCTGGCTTTTAATAAATAATTATCTGACACCCAAAGTTTTAATTTGATGTAAAATGACTAGAAGTCAATTACTGTATATAGTGACTATTAAGTCTGATACATATACCCTAGTAAGCTATAGTACTTTTTACTTTGGGAAGGTACCATCTGTGCAGTCTGCAATTTTGTTGAAGAAAGATGTTGAATCTATTTAATATTTCTTGAAAAATAAATGATTTCTGTGCATTTTTTTTCACACTGCATCAAATTAAGGTTGATTACGTCGATTAAGCATCATGAGGTGGAGCGTGAGGGGTGGTTCCTTATTTTTTATTTATTTATTTTTGTTGTTGCTGGGAGTTGGAACCCTATTAGTTAGGTTGCTTAATATTTACGCTAAGTACCCTTTAAAATACCAGAATAGGAAGGATGGTGTAGGTTTAAGTTTATTAGATTGATCAGTATTGCTGAACTATGAAATATTTTTTTTGTATACAGGTATAACAAAATAGCTTTAGTGTAGTTGTTGTTTTAAACTTGAGTATGAACTTGCAGCTTGTAAAATGCAGCAAGATATTTAAAAAAACAGTTTTGTTGATTAAAAAACACTATATCGGATTCATATCGGTATCGGCAGATATCCAAATTTATGATATCGGTATCGTATCGGACATAAAAAAGTCGTATCGTGCCATCTCTATATGATACATCTATATATACACTGTCAAAGATACTTGTCTTTGAGTGAAGATTTAAGGTGATAGGACATATAAATAGCTGCAACTTGAATCTTTACTGAAGTTCAGTATTTGACACAGAGTTCACTCACATGAATTTCACTCACATGTGCTGTATAGTGTACCTGCACATGTGATGTGACAATAGAAGTGATTTGATTTGAGAGTTCAAACTCACTGCTGTAATAACTAATAATGATTAGTATAATAACTATAATATTGGCCATATCATATTTACACTGACTTTAGTCTCATGAACAACATTAACTATTTGTTATTTACTAGCTAATCTTATATGACTGTTCAGTACAGATATGAAGCCCATCAATCATGTTTTACAGTCCTGTGGTTTTAGCCTCAGATACTTATTAAATCACACAAAGCTCATGTAGAAACAAACAAACGAACGAACAAAATATGTTCTCCTTCATTTCAGTCAATCATGGTTGCTAGGCAACCTGGGCAGCTCGACGGAGGCTAGACCGTCCCATTTCACAAGCCTCACACTTCCGGCCTTAGCGGTCTTTGAGTACGCGGCCCTTGAGGATCGTTGAGGCTGCATACTTTAAGGCTGCAGACCCTGAATTGGGATACAGCCATCATCTGTGCACTAAATGAAGGTGGATGTGGTGTGACTTTGGTTTGTGAACTTTTATGAAATCATCCTAAATAAAATGGCATCATGTGTTTATTTCATTTTATTATATTATTGCACAGCAGACTGTTTAAAACAACAATCACAGAAATGAAATGAAATTCCACATACGTCATTTTCTGTTTGTGAGCGTTAACACCGGAACCTGAACCTGTCCGCTTTCATCTTCTGTGTTGGTCAAGCTGAGGTGTCTCTGTTACAGAGCTTTATCACACGGTCAGTGTAATATAGTCATACATAGTCGTACAGCTCTGTGGACCATGGGTTCAGCTTTTATTGTAATATTCATGGATGGATTGGCACTTTTATTCACTGTTTCCACATTAGCTCAGGTTAATAAGGTGCTCTTATTTTGAAAGGCGATAAGCAGAAGAAGAAACAGGAAAAGAAGAACAACAAAATGGAGAAAACGGCGGAACATAGCTGGTGCTTACGGTGTGGTTGATGAGGATTGTGTGGATAACCCGTCTGTCATCCACGGACAGTAAACTGATCGCGAACAGTTGAACTAGCACAGAAGCGAGCACGTTCCTGTCTAAGGGTCAAGCTAGCAGCTGTCTAACTACGCTACTGTAGCTAGCGACATTAGAGCAGTTAGCAGACTTTGCTAACTTTCGGGTGGAGACCGAAGGTTACATTGCTAATTGTGAGAGGACGTTCCCTTCTCTTCTTCCTGTGACACACACACAGGTAATAACAATAAAGACACTTGAGCATATCGGAGCTCAGTGACGGAGGAAAGATGACATTTTTGTTGTTTTAGGCGGAGAGCCGCCATAAGCATCAGGCCGTGACGGGAGAACAGAAGGCTTCAGGCGCAGAACGTGTGTGATTATAAATATGTTATAAAACCCCTCAGGATTCATCTTTAATACTTGTTACATCAAACCTGACTTAGTATACATCAGATTCTCGAATTTTACCACCCTGACTTGTTTACCATCATGATCAGAATACAGTCATACTGATTATTACAGTATGGTAGAAGCTGCTGTTCATCTCCGTGGTTATACACTCAACATGAATTGGTGCAGTAAAATCATTACGTCACATTCTGGGATCAATGATCGATAGATTCATGTTACAGGTTTAAGTCGTACACTTCACCTGTTTGAACTCTGGACTCTTCACGCTGTGATAACAGAGCCTGTATAAAGCTGTTCACTCTGTGGAAGGTTAGAGATGTACTGCAAATGCAAAAGGTTTGGAATGTGTCAAAGGTTGAAGGTTAAACAGTTTGTTACGTTAACTGAAATCCTGCCTCTGTCTGGTTCAGTCTCACCTGATGCTCTTTCACACCCTCACCTGTGTCACCTTAGTAGCACAGGTCCAATATCTGTTGCTGGCTCATCTCTAACCTGTCATTTCTTTCTTTCCAGAGGTTGTCCAGCTGTTCTTCCTGTTAGAACTCCATCATCCCAAATCTGAGGGACATGCGTCTTCTTTTGGACCAAAGAAACTTTCAACCTGTCAGATCAGATGTCTTCTAGAAGGAAACCTGTGAATGCCACAGCATTTCTGGTAAAAATATTTGCTATTATTATTACTATAATATTTACTATTTACAGCTCACCTATAATCACACAATTGACATTCATATTTACACTTTTAATAGTGGCCTTGAAGCAAATCAGCAGAAAACATGTTTAAAAGTAGGTGTAAAATGCATCAACAGAGTATGGATGACATGTAAGAGTAAAAGACACTAGATTTCAAAAGTTTGACTAAAAAGAAGATTTCCGGCAGAAGTACATGAACAGAACAAAACACAGCCAAATTATAACCAAAGCAAAGAAATCCGTCACATGCTCATGTCTATTGTGTAATTTTGGAATTAAATAATAATGGGCAAATGTCCTGCTGCTGTCTCTGTGCTCTGTCACAATTGTTAGTGTGCATGCTGTGGATGGTCAAATTAAGACCATGTCCACACTAATACTGTCACGAAGTGGGATGGACTCAAGCGCAGACAAGGCAGCTAGAATACAGTTCCGTTTATTGCTATACAACACCAGGTGCAAATATATACAAGTGAGAGGGCGGGGGGAATCCGGGAAAGGAGCTCTTCATACACGAGGGACTTCACAAAAAACACAGCACACCAGCAAGCCTGCACACCAAGGGTTCTGGGGAAACGGAATTCCTGTTTACAGACAACAAGTGATTAATCCAAAGGGTCAGCGATACAAAAAGGCAACAAGAGACTAGTACTCCGGAGCTTACTACCGAGGTTACTCAATAGTCCAGCGACGAGATGTTTCCAGCCACTGCCTTAAGTAGTGGATGAGTTTAGGTGATGAGCCACAGGTGTGTGATTAACTTCAGGTGCGAGGGCCAGGGGGGGGAGCCCGCAATGAGTTCCGCCTCGGCGAGACACAGCAAGCGTGAGAGAGGTAGATGTAAACAAGAAACATATGTAGCCAACCCGAGTCAGCCAGGCAGACACGGGACCATGACAAATACGTTTTTGTTTGAAAACAAATCTTTTCGTTCTATTTTGCCCTTCCTTCCACACTGAGATGGCAGTTTTGGTGAAGGAAAACTGAAACGCTCTCCAAAGTGGATAAAGGTGAAAACACCATTTTCGCGTTGCAGTGTGGACTGCGAAAATGGAGGCTTTTGAAAATGATGGCGCATTTTAGACAAGTTCAGCTAAGATGGCGGACAGCATTGTACAGCAGTTGTTTTGGTTTTTTTTTGCTCTCAATTTTGACAGCCCTATTAAAGATTAATACCAGTTTGTACCTGATCCAAACAATAGAATGTTTACTCAGAGCTGTTGTTTAGCAACTTAATTTCATTTTGCCACAACGTTTCAAAGAGCCAAGTAAAGAACGTAAATAAATGGCAGACGGAAATTACGCAGGTCGAATTGTCTTACGTTTCACATATACGCAGCGTTTTCAATTATTTCAGTGTGGATGAACAAGTCTCGGAAACGATTGAAAACAATGGTGTGAATGCGGAGCGTTTTTAGACGAAAACACTGTTTTCGAATTTATCTGGATGAGTGTAGACATAGCCTAAAGTGTGCAGTAACAGAATGTCACCAGATGCAAAAACCTTTTATTTCTATTCAGATAATAGTGATGACAGTCTTCAGTGGTCTCAGCCTCACATGTCATCCAGCAGAGTATCAGATTGGAAACGAATGCTGTCCAAAGTGTCCTCCAGGTAAGAATCAACTGAATGATGAGTGTATGTGTTTTTCTAAGCACACAACTTAGATGAACAATGGGGAAAGAATTAAAAAAGAAAGCTCTGAATAAACTTGTATTTAATTTCATCAGGAAGTCGAGTGAAAACACACTGTAAGGAGTACAGCAGCACGTCCTGTGCTCCCTGCATGGGTGGAACCTACACTGATCAACAAAATGGTCTAGAACGATGTCTTTCCTGTACAAACTGTGACTCAGGTACATTTATGTTCACATCTTTATTCCCTGAAACAGGTAAAATTAACTGAGTAATTTTAAATCAGATCATTAAGGGAAGTCTCTGTCCATGGATCCATACATTCAAGATGATGATGATGGTGCACATTTAATGATGTCACAAAGACCAAAGGTGTTTGCCAGTCAGAAATCATGAACATATAAATCCTTCACAAACACATGAAACATGTTGAGTATTTTCTTTTTCTGTTGGAAGGTTCAGGACTGAGGGTAAAAACACCGTGTACATCAACATCAGATACAGTCTGTGAACCACTGGAGAGGTTCTACTGTGTTTCCTATGAGAAAGACAGCTGTGGAAGAGCACAGGAACACAGACACTGTAAACCAGGACAGTACATCAGACAGAATGGTAGGGTTGTATTTTTAAATATGAGAAGTTCAGGGAAACATTTACTTGTTATATTTATTTTAGTCAAAGTTGACAGACATGAATAAACATCAGCTTTTAGCTCCATCATGTAGAAATGTCTGATTTGACCTCAAAGGCTAATATTCAGCAGGTAAAGGAAACCAAAGATGCCGAAACATCTGAGTGCAGTTCAGAGCCAGGAGCATGGATCAAATTTAGTCATCATTAAACTCATATTAAACATCAGAGAAAACTTATTAGACTCACGTAGAAGCACAGACATAGATGAAGACTATCAAAAACAGGATTATGTGTGAGACTTGAGTCCAACATTTTTACTTTCTCATGGCTTCTTAAAATCTTCCTAAAAAACACTTAAAGACTTGCATGAAAAAAGATTTCATTGATCAATTTATTGTTGATCTATAACATGAACCTTTAATGTTGGAGGTTCAGTATGAATGCAGACAGATGGATACTGGCTGGGAGGTGGTGTTCAGCATCCGTGAGGGCAGATTAAGTTAAAGGGTTCAGAGTGTCAGTCCACACTTATCTACACATGTTATTGTTGTCGTCATCAGGCACAGCCTCCACAGACACTGAGTGCTCTGACTGCAGCAGTGGAACATTTTCAAATGGAACATTTCACTCCTGTCAGCCACACACACAGTAAGTGAAGCTTCAGAGACACATGTGCAACATCTGTACACTACACTGTCCTCTAACAGTGTCCCTCTGTCCTTCCAGATGTCACTCACTCAACCTTCAGCTGATAACAGAAGGAACACTTGCAGCTGACAATCAGTGTGGAGAAAAAAGCAATCATGTGACCCCGACTATCACCGTGATTGTCTTAATTATTGTAGGACTAGTATTAGTGTTATTAGTATTATTAGTATTATTATGCTTAAAAAAGAAGGGGATTGTATTTAAATCCAGGTGAGGATGATAAAACAATGAAAATGTTTTATTTACTGGATCATCATGTTTTCTGACAATGATTTATTTTACTGGTTTTATTTGATTATAGAAACAGAAAGAACAGCACATTAAGGTATGTTTGTCTCTGTTTCTCAGTGTTTACTTTTTATGATGATAACACTGATTTATCTAAAAACTAATGCTGTCTTTCTTTACTTTACCCAAAAGCTCTCCAAAAGGAGAACAAGCAGAACTCCATATGCAAAGTCAAAGGTAGGTGTGTGTGTGAGAGTTGTTGAGTGAGTGAGCGGCACTGATGTCTCTACAGATGTATCAGAGCCTTAATCACATGTGCGTCTCTCCTCAGAGGGAAACCGAGTGAAGATAAAGAGAAAGAAAATGGTCTCCTCCCCCCAGAATAACTGGTAAATGGACTGGTCCGTACATGGTGCTTTTCTACCTGAGCACTAAGAGTGCTTATACAACAACATGCCTTATTCACACGAGCGCTTTTTTTCCTAAGCTTAAACGTTTTCTAGCATTCACATTCCAGAGAAGCAGCTTGGAGTTCAGTATCAAAAGACTTGTAGGCATGCAGACCGGAGCAGCCGGGCTTCAAACCACCAACCTTCCACTTAGTAGATGACCCTCCACCTCCTGTGATACAGACACATAAACATGTCCTGTTCTGATGCAGCTGGATGCTGACACGTTGTGTTTGCAGTGGACAGAAATCAAACATCTGGATCATCATGTCACTGCACTCACACTGAAACCTGCAGTGCTCCTGCTGACACACTCTTGGTCATGTGACTGTACACACAGACTCACACAGAGCTCAAAGCAGGAAGTGGAACAGACTGAAAATGGACTCATGGGATATTTACTGAATATAATTTAATTGTTTAAAATAAATTTAAACTTAAAAAAGATAAGTTAAAAAAATAATTCCAGAAGAGTGTGTGTTGGGATCGTTTTTTATGATATCTGTACAAAATTAAACTTTGATAATTGTATGTATGCAGGAGCAGCAGTAATGACAGATACATCGTTTTAGGAGCGATACACTTTCCTGTTATCGGGCCTGTGATGTGTCTTAATGTCTGGAACAATTTTTTTCTAGTGGCACAAATCATTTGTGTGCTATCTTATTGTACATGTACCTGATTGTTGTGGAGACACTTTGAAGTATTTGTGCAGATAATACCCGAGACTTACTTCATTCCATGTAAAGCTTGTATATAGATTTGGTGTTTTGAAAGATTTTCGACATAAACAGTTTATTCATTAATAAACATGTTTGTGGTTTTCACAGTAAAAATCAAGACTTTTGATTTTTATTTTTGATCAGAAACAGTTGGGAGGTCTTCAGTGAGCCTCCAAACATAGCTGCTGGTTGGTTTTCTACCTGTTTACGTCCAACGCTCTACACATCTGTATGTTTCAGCTTTGTCCTTCAGTCTCAACATGGTTCATCTTAACTTCCTGCTAGCTTCTATCATGGTTAAAGCTAATGAATTTCATCACAGGATTCATGTGAACACCAGTAGAACTTTGTTATTGAAAATGTTGTTAGTACAGAGTTTGGATAAAGCTCAGCTGTTGATGCTGCTCACTGATTGGATTGTTCGTTTCAGCTCTGCTCCCAGTCTTTACTGCATAGATGAAGATAGAAGGTGTGACTGGATCTATAGACAAAAAGACAGAGAAATATGCAGAATATTTTATGCTTTGCAGTAGAAATGTTCATATTTTAAATACAACAGAGCTGATCTGGGATGTTCACTCCTGCAGATACAACAAGGCTTCATGTCTTCACATGTCAACATGTGAGTTTTACTCTGACATACACTCAGTCTGAGCAGCCAGACGACATATTTTTAAAGTTCACACATCAATACACACAGAGCTGAGCCCCTCCCACCTGTCCTGCTCCAGGTGGAATCCTGCCTCTTTCCAGGAAGCAGCTCACCTGTGTGTCTGTGTGGAGTGGAGCTTGTTCGTGTGTGTGTTTGAAGAAACTGTAAGTTTTCTTTGTTTCCTCCTATAACAGTTTATCTTTATGAACTTTACTGTTTGTTTCTGCTCTCTAGTGTTTGGAGCAGATGTTCAACTCTTAATTCAGGATTTGGATCACTCTTGAGTTTGAAGACTAATCCACATCATTTTAGATTAATGATTGACTGGAATCCACACTGGTTATCCGTCAGTAACTCTGCACTGAAACATTTGTTACTTTCATAAACAGTATATATATCGATCTGTATGAAACTTTAAACCCATCAGACACTTATCAGTGATATGATGGAACATTGTTTTTCCCTTTAACTGGGAACAGTCAGATAAAATCATTTTGTTCTCAAGAAGTCGACCTTCAGGTCTTACTAAAGCGATGTTGAGAAAACAAGAAACAAAGCAGCTCAGTTCAGGATCACTGCAAGGAATGTCAGAATAAAAAATATATTCTTACAAAACCACCAACATTTACAGCATGTTTTGTACCCTGTACCTGACAGTAATATCTGCATATGGAGGCTGTGACTTACATCATGGATAATGTGCAGAATAGATTATGAACTTGGCCACTTTTCCATGTCTATGTGTTGTTGTCATGTTCACTTGTTCTTAATAAGTGGATTTGTAGTTTTCTTCTTTAGCATTTGAAGGCTTTAATCATTAATAGTTGGTCAGAGTGTGGTCACTTGTGTTTCTCACTATTTTGAGGTCCCAAGTATATGGATTTCTTTTTAACACTTTTTGCTACGTTTGAACTGTTTCCAATCTCAATGAAGGCTCGCATTAAGTTAAGTGAATTATGTCTTTACTGTCGGAGTAAAGTCTCAAACGCATTTATACCTCTCTCTCCATAAATGAAGAACGTGTAAGACGTAAAGTGCAGAACCTAACTGTGATACTTTTGAAAAAGTCTCATGAAACCAGAGGCTCCCTGAATCTTTGCACCCTCGGTGCTCTGTGGAAAACTTCATTATTCTGTAAAAAGACTGTTTTAGAGCAGCCATACTCATGTAAAGGTTAACATCTCCACACAAGATACAACATGAATCAGCACTAGTTCACTGATGTCAGAGTCCTTTTTTTTCCTGTTTTGTTTTTTGTTTTTTAAATTAAATATTTTTCTACTTAAACTTAGACTTGCAGTTCCCTCCTGTAAAGATAATAAATGTTTAATCTTATCAGGTGGTGAAAGGTCTGGAGAGCTGGCAGGCCCGTTCATCAAATTCATGGTGAGCTAATATTTTTCTTAAATTATCACATTCCCATGTTAAAAATTTAATATATTCATTTGTAAGTGACATAGTTTTGAGACCAAGAAAACATTGCATTCTGATTTTATGTACACATCATCTAAACTTTCTTGAATTGGGGGTATGGCATGATTAAATTAATACAAAGTAAAAAACAATATTAGAATGACAGAATTGTCTAAAATGCATGAATACTATTTGAAAAGATTAAGACTGTAAAACAATAGCCTCTGTATTTCTCACAAATTCCTGGTAATTCAGTTAAAAGTTCTTTAATCCCACTGCTAGGTCGTTGAGATGGATTTCCGTATATATTTGTTTCCCCCCCCACTCTGTGTACTGATGCTGTTGAAATCAGAAGAGAATACATCGCCAAAGGTCTTTGCGTGTACCTGAATGAAGATCCTGAGCTGGTGAAGGATTACCTGGTATGTTAACTTGCCTGTATCCTTAACTAAGGAGATGATCAAAGATAAGCTTGAACTACATGCAAAAAGTTTCAGGGGATGGGGTTTTCCTATAAATTACCGGTGGCTGTAAAAAAAATAGCTTTTAAAATGGGAAAAGTAAGAGCTTTAAGTTTCTCACTGGATACTACACGTAGGGCTACTCGATTATGGCAAAAATGATAATCACTATTATTTTCACTGAAATTGAGGTCTCGATTATTTGACGATATTTATTTAACCCTTTAAGACCTACTATAGAACAAAGTCCGCCAGAGCTTATATTATTTTTTTACATGTTATAGTGCCATTGGGAGCATTTCAAGTTGCTATACATCAATACAACTGTTATAGCCCATATTTTAATAATATGTATGCATTAAGTCCATAGTAACTACATTAAAATGGAGCACTGTAACAAAAAATAATTTCCCCCAGGGATCAATAAAGTATTCTGATTCTGATTAATTGCAAAAAGTGCAATAAACTACAAAAAAATTGAAAATCGTTTTTTACATATATTTCTACTTGGAGAAATTTAAGAGGTTTATCCCTCAAAACTTTAAATGCAAAAAATAGTTTACAACAACAGGAAATTTATTTTGAGTGCCTTCATAGTTTTATTTTGGAGATAAAGCAATTTTTATATACTGCAGGGAAAACAATCCTATGATTCAAATTTGCAAAGAAAACAGCATGTGCATCAAAATAAACTATTTCCAGCAGTGCAATATGAGTTCTAAGCATCCCAGAAACTATTCAGTAAAGTCTAACATGACTTATAAAAACACCAGTATAGGTGTTTAAGGCCTACAAGTAAAAAAACTACAGTTTCCGCGAAGATGACGTCACTTCGGGTTTCTGGCAGGAAATGGCGGACGTGCGATAGTTCGCGCTGACGTCTGTTTCAATGTGGGAAGTGTTGCGAACAGCTGATCAAATCGGCAAAGCGTGTTTCTGGAATATTATGTGTTTGTTCCTGCTAGTGCGTTTTGTGCAATTTTTGCAACCGTGACCTAGGACAAGCTGATAGCATAAGATGTAAGTACAACTCCTCTGGTTTCATATGCAAAAAATTATTGCGCTAGCTTACGCGGTTCCGGTTCTACAGGGATTTAAAAATAGTTACGCAAAACGGAGCATGCCCGCTCTGACTGTAAAGGTTAACAATAACAATGTATTGAATAATGACTTTAACAAATAATATAAAATAGTGTGCAAATACTGATAACAGTGCAAATGTTTGCAATATAAGAAATAAATGTAAACATCTGTTTAGTGAACTTTGCAGTGGTGCAGCTACAACACCGTAGCAAAGTTTACACACGATGTCTGACTCGGCGAACCCATAATGTTTCCACACCACTGAAGTTTTTTTTGTTTTTGTTTTTTTTTTTTTACCCCTCTTTTCAACCAACGGCAGTCACTCTCCTCTCCAAATAACTTCTGCTTAGCTTTCCGAGCTTCCCTCGGGTCCTCTTAATTGTTGTGACGCGTGTTGGAAACAAGAGGTGCGCTCGATTTGCCACACGGAGCAGCGCGAGAGTAAAGCACGAGGGAGGGGCTAATAATCGGCTCAGTCACTTTTAATGATCGTTGAAAGCCCAGATCGTAATCGTGATTAAAATTCGATTAATTGAGCAGCCCTAACTACACGCAGCATTCTTGAGTGTTTTATACTATCATTATTATAATATCATTATAACAACCTCATTCATACAAGATTTTTATGTAACATTTACACTTCAATGGATGTATCAGGAGCAACTTGGGGTTCAGTGTGTTACCCATTGATAGTTTTAGTATCAGATTAGAGAAGCCAGGGATTAAAGCAGTAGACAACTTGCTCTACCTCCTGTGCCACAGTCACCCCTATCACAACTCAAGATTTTGAAAGACAGAACATTGTTGAGGTATTGAATGAACTTCTCTTGAGTGAGGAAAAATATCGGGCAGTCATTTTTGATTACATTTACATTATTATAAGGCTTGAATGAATAAAGCTTTTAGGTATTTTACATTAATGTAAAACAGATGTACTTTTAAAACTGTTTGCAATGGACATTAGTGAGAAATCATTATCTTTTTTTTAAATTTGTTTGTTTTATTGTCACAGGAAGTTGATAGAAAGCATGGCCACTGCCATAGCAGAGACAGTCTTTGGAATCTGTGTCATTCGGTCAGAGGGTGCGGAGCCAGCGATGACCCTCAGGATGTTATGATTGTTCTAGAGGGGGTGGAAGTGATGGGTGAGTTGGGCAATGTAGTTTTTGCAGTGACAATGTTGCTTGGTCTGGTCTATTCACTGAACCTGAAATTTGCTAGAAATTGGAGAAAACAAAAAGATGTGTATGACAAATTTGTATTTACCTTTTAGATGTAATAGTGAAATGTATGTTAACCAGACTCTAGACTTTGTTAAATGCTCCAAAAAATTACTCTTTAAATTAACTTCAAATAATCATGGAAAGAATTTCCATGTGATTAAAGTGTTTT